TTTATCAAATCTTGTATGGTTATGAAATTTGTAACAAGAAGAAGGCTGGGGGCAATGGAGTGTCCCCTATCCAGGGCAATGTGTGGGTTTAAAAATGCATAATCCTAGTTTGGGATTAGGAGGGGGGTGGGGCTACCCAAAAATATTTTTGGAAGGGGTGAGGAGGGGGGTTATTGAATGGTTTGGAATTTTAGAGCAATGGAGCGAAGTAAATGACTTTAGAGTGATAAATCTGTGTGGTTGGGGAGGCTGGGTAGGGGGCAGCCAGGAAAAGGTTTGGGGGGAGGGGGGAAAAGGGGGTTTTGGCATGAGGGGTTGGGACTTCCGCAGGGGGTTTCGGAGTATGGGTTTGATAGGGCAAATGGACAAATGGTTTTTAGGGACTTGACTCTGTTGGAGTTGTGAACAAGGTAACTTATGAAGTGATTCAGGGAAAATTTGCAGGGCCCGGACCTGGTTCTGGAAAAGGGAAAGTACAGTGCCGGCACCTTTAAAAGGGGGGGTTTAAAGTTGCAGTTTTATAACTGTAATGTAAGCAGCCCTGGCAAGATAGTGGTGGGGTGAATCATGAAAGTTTTTTTTTTTTGGGCCCCCCTGCCTTGGTGGGAAACAGTCGAAGTGTTAAAAAAAAAAAAGAAAAAATTAATTTTTATATTTGTTTTTGTTTTTTTAATTTTTTAAATTTATTTTGAGACTTGTTTTTGTAGGGTGCGGGGAAATTAAAATTGTTAGGAATGTCTTGACACTTTAAATTGTTCATTAACTGCATGTATTTATACTATAAATAGACGTTAGATGATAGAATATTTCAGATTGTAATCCGTTTTCCAGGTTCTGTATGGCCATTAGGGGGTTTGCATTTCCCCTGGATAAATAATAATAATAATTATAATAATAATAAAATAATTTGTGTTGCTTTGCGAGTTTTTTACATGAATTGGAAAAAAGGGCATTTTAGCGCATTTGGAGAAGGCTTCCTTCTAGTGTTCTTGAGAAAAAACCAGATTGAATACAGTTAGTGTTTTTTTTGGTGGCCAAAAAGGTAAAAGATTTTTTTTTTTTTGTTCATATATTTTCCCCTTTAATCTTAACCCCTTGACTTTACAACCCCAAAAAACCCTTTGGGGCTCCTGGGTCGCAAAATTTCCCAAGAAAATAAATTATTTTTTTTTTGTGAAATAAAAGGAAACTTTTCCCGATTGTGATGACACCAAAAGAACGAAATTTTTGGAAAACGACGGAATACAAATCCCCCGAAGTTTGCAACCTCGGTGATATTTCAATCTGCGATTTCCCCACTTTGAGCCCCTGTTTTCGGTAATTCCATTGTTCCAGGTGGCCAAACTAAGATATTTCTTTAGAACTCCATTTTTTCTATCGATTGAGTCAAAAAACTGCCCATTTTACCCATTTAACTACCCAATAACGTGGTCAGAAATTTCCAATTTGGCCAATTTCACGAAAAAATTAAAAAAAAATGACAATTTCAAAATAGGGTCCCGAATGAACAAGCAGACTTCCGGGGTCTAAAAAAACATTTTCTTTTTTTCATCATCACGTTCCAGGGGCCCCCCATTTTCTTGCTTTCTATTTTTTAATTTTTATTCTAACAAAAAAAAGAAGATTACTGTTATGCGATACTGCATATTTTAATAATTGTATAAAAAAGTCAATCCATTCATGAATGCATATTGAATGGCTGCTTGGAATCTATTGGAAAATGGCATCATTTTTTTACTTTTGAACTTGGCAAAAATCAAACATTTCCCCCACTTTTGGCTCCATTTCAAGTTCTTTTCATAGTAAAACCAAACAAAACACCTTATTTCATAAAATGTTTTCCATTCTATCAAATTTAGACCAAAAAAATGAAATCAGCCATAAATACCCTAGAAAATAGAAAACAAATTCGGCATTTTTTTTTTCATTTTACTGTGTGCTGCAGGATTTTTTTTTTATGGTGCACACTGACCCACAGACCCCTTCTTTACATGTGGGCCTACCAGCTTTTTCCCCCGTTGATTTGAAGCTGTAGAAAATTTTTGGCTATATACTTTTAAAAACTGGCCGTAAACGTATATGTACGAGAAACAGCAAAGGGTTAAGCTGCATCCTTACAGAAGTTTCAATTAACAGGTGGGCAAAAGCTTTAAGTACTTCATCTACGGTGGTTCATTAAAGTTGCGCTTTTTAGTTTAGCCATTCTTCATTTATTTGCCTTCCTGAATAAATTCCCCTACTCACATAAGCTAAAATGAAAATATTTTAAAATAAGTAATGTGTGTACTGTATATGCATTTTTTTTAGGCCCAGCTTATTGGGGTTACATAATTATGTAGTGCAAACATGTTAACAGGCTTTTATATGCACTTGAAAATGAAAAAAAGTAGTTTTACTTTCAGTGATTTTTACTTTACAGCAGTAGCCTGGAACCCAACCCGTTTTAGCGCAGGTCCCCCTGTATTAGTATCCCCCATACCTTTCTATATTTATTTTTAAAAAATTTAAATACTTACGGTAATGAAGAATGTGATTGCTGGGAAAATTAAAGGGACAGGATAGACCATTTTGGATATGGGTAAAAAATTTGCAATGACCTCTTTATGTTCTAAATTGAAGGGGAAAAAAAAAATTTTTGCAGATCTTTAGCTGAAATATTAAGTGAATAAATAGAAGTTTCAAGTCATGTTGAAAAGGCCCCCCTTTTTTTTAAATTTATTTTTTAAATTTATCATGTAATTTACTTTCAGTGCAAATTTCCAAGTGAATACAGTGGGCCCCCAAAAAACGGGATTAATCTGTTTTCCGAGAGTAGCCACTAGTAAAAATTTCCGTTAGTCGAATTAATTTTCCCCATAAGAAATAATGGAAATAGAATTAATCCGTTCCAGACACCCAAAAGTATTAAACAAAATAATTGTTTTTACATGAAATATACATTTCCCTACACAAAAACGAATGGGACATGCAAAATAAACAATTAAATGCCACTTACCTTTATTGTAGAGTTGCTGATGAGTGATGAGATGGTAGGAGGGAAGCTGATGCAGGTGTTTTATTGTTTGGAATGGAAATCCCCTTCCATAAATCGTAATGACACAATTGCAAACAAACCATACCCCGGCCGGGTTCAATCCTGGCCGGGGTATGGTTTCCCTTCCATAAAGACTTGAGGTACTAAGTCCTTTGGTGGGGTTACCTCCCTTCTTGGTTTTTTAATGCCACTAGGACCAGCTTGAGAGTCACTGGAGCCCTGTCGCACCAAAAATCTGTCCAGAGAGCTCTGTTTCTCACATGCCCTTAGGAATTCCCTAAAATGGGACACAAGAGTGTCATTGTACATGTTGCCAATGCGGGTTGCAACTTCTGTGACAGGATAAAATTCATCTATAAATGCTTGCACCTTTGTAAACACTGAACATATTTCCCTAATCCTTGACGAAGTCATCTTTCTCCGTCTCTCTTCCTCCTGCCCTGAAGAACATTCCTGAGATGTGATCTGTTGCTGTTGCACCTGAAGCTCTTGCAGGTCTGCAGTGGTTAGTTCTTCCTTGTCGTTCTGCACCAACTCTTCCACATCCTCGCCACAAACCTCCAACCCCAAGGACTTCCCCAGTGACACAATAGCTTCCACTACTGGCATAGGTTCCTGAGGGTTAGCCCCAAACCCTTCAAAATCCCTCTTTTGTACAAATTGTGGCCACAGTTTCCTCCAAGCAGAGTTCAAAGTCCTGCAAGTCACTCCTTCCCAAGCCTTACCTATAAAGTTTATGCAGCTGAGGATGTTGAAGTGATCTTTCCAAAAATCTCTTAGGGACAATTGAGTGTCTGAGGTCACTTCAAAGCACTTTTGAAACACTGCTTTTGTGTAGAGATTTTTGAAGTTTGAAATGACCTGCTGGTCCATGGGCTGGAGGAGAGGAGTTGTATTAAAAGGCAAAAACTTCACTTTAACAAAACCAAACTCCCCTGCAATTTCCTCTTGCAAGTCATGAGGATGAGCAAAAGCATTGTCTATTACCAGAAGGCACCTGAGTGACAATTTCTTTTCCTGGAGGTATTTTGTCACAGTGGGACCAAACACACCGTAAAACCAGTCCAAGAAAAGTTCCCTAGTGACCCATGCCTTACTGTTTGATCTCCACAGCACACACAAATTACCCTTGACGATGACTTAAGAAATCGTAATGTTTTTCCTGAACACACTGGGAGTTTCAGAGTGATGCACCAATAAAAGCTTCACTTTGCAATTACCACTAGCACTACTACACAATGTTAATGTCAGCCTGTCTTTCATAGGCTTATGTCCTGGGAGTGCCTTTTCCTCCTGAGTAATGTAGGTCCTGTTTGGCATTTTCTTCCAAAACAGGCCTGTTTCGTCACAATTAAACACTTGTTCAGGTTTTAAGTTTTCAGTCTCTATGTATTCCTTAAAGTCCTTCACATATTTTTCAGTCGCTTTTTCTTGTCTGAAACCATGCCTTACCACACTGTGTATGCCACTACGATTCTTAAATCTCTCAAACCAGCCTTTGCTGGCTTTAAATTCATCAATATCATTACTATTTTGAGGCATTTTCTTAATGAGATCATCATGCAACTGCCTTGCCTTTTCACAAATTATAGACTGAGAAACACTATCTTCTGATAATTGTTTTTCATTTTTCCATACCAATAACAGTCTCTCTACCTCTTCAACTATTTGTGGTCTCCGTTTTGAAAACATACTTGCACCTTTACAACAATAGCTTCCTTGATTGCCTTTCTGTTCGCCAAGATAGTACTGATGGTTGAATGGGGTTTGTTGTTTAGCCTTTCCAACTCGGACATACACACTCCACTTTCGTATTTTTCAATTATCTCTTTCTTCATTTCCATCGTAATTCTCACCCTTTTTACCACAGGGTTGGCACTAGAAGCTTTCTTGGGGCCCATGGTGACTTATTTAGCAGTTACAAGCACAAAAAACACTGGAATAATCCAAAATATATGGCAGGTACATGTGGAAGCGACTGCAACAGCTTGTAAACAATGGCACACTGAATTTTGGAGTGGCTTGGCCCGCTCAGGCTGCACTCCTTCCACATGGACACGTTCTGGACGAACGCCGTTAGACGAGTTTTTCGCCGTTGGTAGAGCCATTTTTTTTTACGCCAAAGAGCGCTGTTAGACGAATTTGCCATTACTTAATGCCACCGTTGGGCGGGGGTCCACTGTATATAATTTGTAACCTAGTTTTGCAGTCATATTACATATGCTTCATTGTGTATCCATCATTTTCATTAGACATTGCATACATTAGCAGTACGTATATATAAACTGAGAGGTGTATATCTTTGTGTTTGTAGACTGAATTTACATTAATTCTTATTTTAGTGATTAAAGTGTGTACTGATATTCTTCATTATTACATGTACAGGTGGATTTCAGTCTTAGTGTCCCACATGCATTCAGTAGGTTTAAACCTGTTAAACTAAGTAAGTTATCTGCATATTATAATATTTATTTATCTCATTACAGCAAATCATGAGCACTGTGTTCCAGCAGACTTTGTCATCCCTCTGAAGTCACATAAATTGCTTCAAGTGATACCACTCTCAAGCGCCTTAGGAGCTTTCCTTAGAAATCCCTCAGAGGATAAACTCAAAGTAAGATCCAATTTAGTGATATTACATGTGATAATTACATTATAAATATTTTTCCTTCAATTCCCCACACCCAAATTTTTTTTCTTTGGTTAAGCTTTCCTTTTGAGAGTCAGTAGAAGACAGATTAGAGAGAGAGAGAGAGAGAGATTCATCGAGATAGTGTGAGAAGATGAAATGCACCTGTAATAATATCTCCTGGTATTTGTTTAAAGAAGTGGTCGCTAATTGAGGCAGAGAGTTTTGGATCCAGCAAATTTGGATGTTAACCCTTTCAGGGTCCATGCCATAGATCTACAGCTTTATGTTGAGGGTCCAAACTGTAGATCTATGCCATGAGCTCAGCTCACTCTGGTAAGCTGTGAGTGATAAATTTGGGCCTAGATATGAGAGAATACATCTATGTGGTATGTGTGCACCACATAAAACTATGCACACAGTGCATAGTGAAAGAAAAAAAACTGAGACTGTAATTTTCGATTAAAACAGCGACTTTGCAGTGTTTTTTCATATGTTTTTAATAGTTGTATTTGTGATTTCTTGGTCTTATTTGATAGAATGGAAGATATATTACAGAAGTAGAGATGATTTTCATTGGTTTTAGTACTGGAAATGGCTTGAAACTGAGCTCACAGTAGCAGAAATGATGAATTTTTGCCAATGTTCAAGAGTAAACAAATGACCTCACACGTCTAATACACACCAGCTGGTGGGTCTAATATATGTTCACAAATGTGGTGATATCATTTACACAATTATTACACTATTGCATAACAGTAAATCTTCCATTTTTTGGTTTGAATAAAACTTCATTATGTGAATAAAAAATCAAAATGGAATTCATTTGTAAAGCCTGAAAATATAACTAATGAACAGAGGAAATGTTAGTTTAGTGCCAGGAATGCCTGCATTATTTATTCTGGACCCTATTTTGAAATTGGAATATTTTGAACTTTGCATTAAATTGGCCAAATTACCAATTTCCGATCACTTTATTTTGTAGTTGAAACAGTTGACTTGGTGATTTCTTGTGCTCAGTCGAGAGAATAGAAGTAATACGAGTGAAATAGCTAAGAATTTCGTCGACTGAAATAATGTAATTGGCCTAAAATGGGAGTCAAAGTCGGCAAAATCGCCGATGCGTAAATATCGCTGACACATGAAAATTCGCGAGAGCATAATTCCGTCAATTTTGCATCAAATTTCGTACTTTTTGTTTTGTTACCTTCAGAAAAAGATTCTCTACCATTTCATAAGAAAAAATAACAAAATTATTTTTTGAAAATTCTTGGATCCTGGTGCACACTTTGAAATTTGGCCTCTGGACCCTTAACCCTTTCAGGGTCCGTCCCGTAGATCTACGGCTTTATGTTCAGGGTCCAAACCGTAGATCTACGCCATGAGCTCAGCTCACTCTGATAAACTGTGAGTGGTACATTTGGGCCTAGATATGAGAGAATACATCTATGTGGTATGTGTGCACCACATAAAACAGATCCTGCAGCACACTGTGTATAATGAGAGAAAAAAAATGAAATCATGATTTTTCGATTAAAACAGCAACTTTGCAGCGTTTTTTCGTATGTTTTTTATAGTTGTATTTGCGATTTCTTGGTCTCATTTGATAGAATGGAAGACATATTACAGAAATAGAGATGATTTTGATTGGTTTTAGCATTGGAAATGGCTTGAAACTGAGCTCAAAGTAGCGGAAATGTTAAATTTTTGCCGATATTCAAGAGTAAACAAACGACCTCGCACGTCTAATACACGTCAGCTGGTGGGTCTAATATACATTCACAAATATGGTGATGATATTTATACAATTATTACAGTATTGCATAACAGTAAATCTTTTATTTTTTGGTGTGAATAAAAATTCATTATGTGAATAAAAAATCAAAATGGAATTTATTTGTAAAGCCTCAAAACATAACTAATGAACAGAGGAAATGTTAGTTTAGTGCCAGGAATGCCTACATTGTTCATTCTGGACCCTATTTTGAAATTGGAATATTTTGAACTTTGTGTTAAATTGGCCAAATTAACAATTTCCGATCACTTTATTTTGTAGTTGAAACAGTTGACTTGGCGATTTCTTGTGCTCAATCGATAGAATAGAAGTAATACTAGTGAAATAGCTAAGAATTTGGTTGATTGGAATAATGTAATTGGCCTAAAATGGGAGTCAAAGTCGGCAAAATCGCCGATTCGTAAATATCGCTGACACATCAAAATTCGCGAGAGCATAATTTCGTCAATTTTCCATCAAATTTCGTACTTTTTGTTTTATTACCTTCACAAAAAGATTCTCTACGATTTCATAAGAAAAAATAACAAATTTTTTTTTTGAAAATTCTTGGACACTGGTGCGTGGCTCCAGATTTGGGCCTTGGACCCTGAAAGGGTTAAAGGGTTAAACAAGATCGAGTTGGTCATTAAATGGAGCAAGGGTTCTAAGATTTTTTTTTTTAGTACAGGTGCTCCTCAATTTATGATATTTAGTTACAATAATTATTTATTTATTGTAACTAAGTTTAATAACATGTATGTTATTAAATACCACTGCCTCCACCATTTCCTCAACCACTGCGAGTCCCTACTACCCTCCCTCCGACCCCTGCAACTGGCAGCCAGCCCTCCCACCAGTGTGGTGAGTGTTTTGTTTGTTCATTATTTGCTATTAAACTACAGTATAAATAATGTAAACCCATTCATGACTGCATATTGGAATGGCTATTCAGACAGGTATTGGACAGTGACATCATGTGTTTACTCTTGAACACAGCAAAGAATCAAACATTTCTGCTACTGCTAATAACAACAATAGTAATAATAATAATAATAATAATAAATACGATAGAATTGAAGAAGGAAATTGTACAAAAATACGAGGGAGTGATTGACACATCGTCAGCGTGGCTTTGTTTATGCTGGAGTGAGCATTAGTCTCCGTGCTCTTCCAAACATTTCACAATAATTCATTGTGTTTGGTGCTTGTAGATTGAGTGTGACTGGAGTGGTAGAGGCAGTGGTTGAGGAAGTGGGTGAGGCAGTGGGTGAGGAAGTGGGTGAGGCAGTGGGTGAGGCAATGGGTGCAGCAGTAGGTGAGGCAGTGGGTGAGGCAATGGGTGAGGCAATGGGTGAGGCAGTGGGTGAGGCAGCAGTTGAGGCAGTGGGTGAGGCAGTGGGTGAGGCAGCGGTTGAGGCACTGGTATAGGCAGTGGTTTAGGCAATGGTAGAGGCAGCAGTTGAGGCACTGGTAGTTAATAACATGTTATAAAGAATAATAATACATATTATTAATAACATGTATGTTATTAAATACCACTGCCTCATCCACTGCCTCACCCACTGCCTCAGCCACTGCCTCAACCACTGCTTCACCCACTGCCTCAACCACTACCTCACCCATTGCCTCACCCACTGCCTCAACTGCTGCCTTGCCCACTGCCTCAATCACTGCCTCAATCACTGCCTCACCCACTGCCTCACCCACTGCCTCACCCACTGCCTCAACCACTGCCTCACCTGCTGCCTCACCCACTGCCTCACCCACTGCCTCAACTGCTACCTCACCCACTGCCTCAACCACTGCCTCAACCACTGCCTCAACCACTGTCTCAACCACTGTCTCAACCACTGTCTCAACCACTGTCTCAACCACTGTCTCACCCACTGCCTCACCCACCTCACCAAGATTCTACAAGACAAACATTTGTAAAGCAAGGAATGACTGTACAACCTAGTATAATTATGAACTTCATTACCTAACACCTAGAGAGTATCAGAATTCTTACAAGTAATCGTACATTCTAGCAGTCTGGTTTGAAAACACCATCAGTGCTGCATGTACATTCTCTGCATGGTCTAATTGCTATACCCTGCCAAGAAATTTTTGGGATGTGCCTTTGCATACTGTCAGAGTGGCGAAAGACTGCTACTTTATTATTACATGTTAAAATGTATTAAAAAGATAATATTCATTTATATTTACAAGATTTAAATCTCAGTGATGAAGCTATGTATACACAGTCTTGCAGAATGTGGCAATGGGCTTGTAATCCCAAAATGGCTGTGTATGTTTCAAGGAAAAATATGAACTACAAAGAATAAGGAAAGACGGATGTATAGTTTTAAGTATTGCAAACCGATTAGGACTGAGCACTCCCCATTAACACCAAGCTAACAATCTGCTCCTAAAGTTGACATGAGAGAACAACCTAGATACATGCATATATAATGTATTAACAGATATATAACTGGGTGCATACCTGGTAAGAGTCTATGTAAAACACATGACAGTCTATTAATTATAAATCAGAGAATATAACTAATGCCATACACTCCCTTTATTTAGGCCAGCAGGCCTGCAACAGTGCTCCTTCTTTCCTTAAGTGAGTGTGACTTGGACCTGCCTAGCATGGACCAGTAGGCCTGCTTCAGTGCTCCTACTTCTTTCTTTCAACACACCAGCCGTATCCCACCGAGGCGGGGTGGCCCAAAAGGAAAAACGAAAGTTTCTCCTTTTACATTTAGTAATATATACAGGAGAAGAGGTTACTAGCCCCTTGCTCCTGGCATTTTAGTCACCTCCTACAACACGCATGGCTTACGGAGAAAGAATTCTGTTCCACTTCCCCATAGAGGTAAGAGAAAATAAACAAGAACAAGAACTAGTAAGAAAATAGAAGAAAACCCAGAGGGGTGTGTATATACATGTATATGCTTGTACATGTAGGTGTAGTGTGACCTAAGTGTAAGTAGAAGTAGCAAGACGTACCTGAAACTTCGCATGTTTATGAGACAGAAAAATGGACACCAGCAATCCTACCATCATGTAAAACAATTACAGGCTTTCGTTTTACACTCACTTGGCAGGACGGTAGTACCTCCCTGGGCGGTTGCTGTCTACCAACCTACTACCTAGTGCTCCTACTTCTTTCTTTCAACACACTGGCTGTATCCCACCGAGGCAGGGTGGCCCAAAAGGAAAAATGATAGTTTCTCCTTTTACATTTAGTAATATATACAGGAGAAGAGGTTACTAGCCCCTTGCTCCCAGCATTTTAGTCGCCTCCTACAACACGCATGGCTTACGGAGAAAGAATTCTGTTCCACTTCCCCATAGAGGTAAGAGAAAATAAACAAGAATAAGAACTAGAAAGAAAATAGAAGAAAACCCAGAGGGGTGTGTATATATGTGCTTGTACATGTATGTGTAGTGTGACCTAAGTGTAAGTAGAAGTAGCAAGACATACCTAAAATCTTGCATGTTCATGAGACAAAAAAGGACACCAGCAATCCTACCATCATGTAAAACAATTACAGGCTTTCGTTTTACACTCACTTGGCAGGACGGTAGTACCTCCCTGGGCGGTTGCTGTCTACCAACCTACTACCTAGTGCTCCTACTTATATACATATATAGTCACACATAATTATTAAAGGGAAATAATTTGAGCATATTTCTCACAGACTTTCCAGCCCTTACTAATTATTTGCTGACTCCTGCACTGTTTGATGTGATGGTGAAAATACTGTATGCAATGAAAATTTTTAATATACTTTTTTTTTTTTTTTTTATTATCACACCGGCCGATTCCCACCAAGGCAGGGTGGCCTGAAAAAGAAAAACTTTCACCATCATTCACTCCATCACTGTCTTGCCAGAAGGGTGCTTTACACTACAGTTTTTAAACTGCAACATTAACACCCCTCCTTCAGAGTGCAGGCACTGTACTTCCCATCTCCAGGACTCAAGTCCGGCCTGCCGGTTTCCCTGAATCCCTTCATAAATGTTACTTTGCTCACACTCCAACAGCACGTCAAGTATTAAAAACCATTTGTCTCCATTCACTCCTATCAAACACGCTCACGCATGCCTGCTGGAAGTCCAAGCCCCTCGCACACAAAACCTCCTTTACCCCCTCCCTCCAACCCTTCCTAGGCCGACCCCTACCCCGTCTTCCTTCCACTACAGACTGATACACTCTTGAAGTCATTCTGTTTCGCTCCATTCTCTCTACATGTCCGAACCACCTCAACAACCCTTCCTCAGCCCTCTGGACAACAGTTTTGGTAATCCCGCACCTCCTCCTAACTTCCAAACTACGAATTCTCTGCATTATATTCACACCACACATTGCCCTCAGACATGACATCTCCACTGCCTCCAGCCTTCTCCTCGCTGCAACATTCATCACCCACGCTTCACACCCATATAAGAGCGTTGGTAAAACTATACTCTCATACATTCCCCTCTTTGCCTCCAAGGACAAAGTTCTTTGTCTCCACAGACTCCTAAGTGCACCACTCACTCTTTTTCCCTCATCAATTCTATGATTCACCTCATCTTTCATAGACCCATCCGCTGACACGTCCACTCCCAAATATCTGAATACGTTCACCTCCTCCATACTCTCTCCCTCCAATCTGATATTCAATCTTTCATCACCTAATCTTTTTGTTATCCTCATAACCTTACTCTTTCCTGTATTCACCTTTAATTTTCTTCTTTTGCACACCCTACCAAATTCATCCACCAATCTCTGCAACTTCTCTTCAGAATCTCCCAAGAGCACAGTGTCATCAGCAAAGAGCAGCTGTGACAACTCCCACTTTGTGTGTGATTCTTTATCTTTTAACTCCACGCCTCTTGCCAAGACCCTCGCATTTACTTCTCTTACAACCCCATCTATAAATATATTAAACAACCACGGTGACATCACACATCCTTGTCTAAGGCCTACTTTTACTGGGAAAAAATTCCCCTCTTTCCTACATACTCTAACTTGAGCCTCACTATCCTCGTAAAAACTCTTCACTGCTTTCAGTAACCTACCTCCTACACCATACACTTGCAACATCTGCCACATTGCCCCCCTATCCACCCTGTCATACGCCTTTTCCAAATCCATAAATGCCACAAAGACCTCTTTAGCCTTATCTAAATACTGTTCACTTATATGTTTCACTGTAAACACCTGGTCCACACACCCCCTACCTTTCCTAAAGCCTCCTTGTTCATCTGCTATCCTATTCTCCGTCTTACTCTTAATTCTTTCAATTATAACTCTACCATACACTTTACCAGGTACACTCAACAGACTTATCCCCCTATAATTTTTGCACTCTCTTTTATCCCCTTTGCCTTTATACAAAGGAACTATGCATGTACATGTATTACCAAAGGATAATAAAAATGTATGTCTTATTCAAGTTTACTATACAGCCTCTCCTCACTTAGCAATGTACTCGTTTACCGATGCCTCGGACTTACAATGGGCTCTGACCAGTATGCATATCTAAATAATGTATATTAGAGCTGATTTCCTCTATTCTCTTTATTACAATATACAGTACACTACTGTATAAACATTTAAAAATATGCTAGAAATGTTATAAATGGTGCAAAGGTGACATTAAAACAGTAGCAAAGATAGTTGACACAAACCCACTATCATTATAGCATGCTCCTCACTTATCGACGAATCTGTTTACCGACATGGTCTTAGGAACGGAACTCCGTCGTTAAGTAAGGATAGGTTGTAATCTAAACAACAAAAACATTATTACATTTTATTGTGGGTCTAAATTAAGAAGGTTGCCATCAGTCATTTCTTGTGAGTGTGATTCAGGCAAGTCATGGACATTTGTAGAATCCAATTCCTAGATATGCAAACATTCTTCCATTGTCTTGTTTTTTTCAACTGCAGGTTGCACTTGAGAGGGTAAGCTCTCAAAATTATTTGTGCAATGAAACAAAATTCTTCCTAAGCATGGGGAAATATTTTCAGATTTGTTGGTTTGTGTATTCACCATCTTCCACTATTTTCTTCAAAAAAAATCAGGACATATTTAGCAGCAGCTTCTTTATCTGCACTTGCAGACTCGCCAGCAATTTTAACATAATGCAATTGAATTTGATTTCTAAAATAGTCAAACTAACCATTATTTGCAATAAAAGTTTCTTTAGTTTCAGCAGGAACTCTTTTTCCTTTCACTGTTCTAAAGAGACTCGAAACTTTTGTTTGATAAGAGATGCTCCATTTCTGTCATTGTAATGATTCTGTACTGTACCTTTTTCTTTTATTTCATCTGTGTTTTATAATATTACCTACCATAGATTCATGCATTTCACCATCTTGAATTATTTTAGAGTTGTTATTGCTACTTTATTACATAAATTTTTTGTTCTAATGTAATAACAAGCTTGGTTTGTGCACTTGCATTATTTACACTATAATATTCTTCTGTTTATCCTAATTTTCTAAGGGCAGCTTAACGAAATTTAAGATACATAATATATGACATAGTACATACTGTAAACATGTATAGGCTAACAAGCTGCAGCACATCTTCACAAAACAACAGGCAGAGCCATACTGACAACTGGGCAGGCAGCCTAGAAGCAGGAGCAAGCATGGTGGGCAGCAAACTCATGCTAACTAATTTTTGACCCATATTATATGAAGTCTGGTATTTTATTTGTGCTAAATCAGATTTTGTTCTATTCAGATTTATATTAATTGAGGCTTTGCTGTATTTTCAAAGCTTATTGTCCTTGTTTCTTGGTTATTTTTATTCATGTATTAAGAGAGTTAATATGGTTTTCATTACAGAATAATGGTCAGTATGCTAATAAGGCAAAAATATAATTTTTCTTTTTTTTTCAGTCAATTAAGAAATCCCTAAAATCATGCGTCTTTCCCATCGAAAATGTTTGGAAGACAAATGATCTTCTTTGCATAAATGTAAAGAGAAAGAAAATAGTGGCAGATCTTATGAGAGAAATTACAATTGCAGGCCTGAATTATGGAGCTTCAAAACTTTTGGAAAAGGTCAGATAATTTATGTGGTTTTTCTTTGCAATTTGTATGCAAATAAAATACTTTTGTAATTATTTAAGCATTGTTCCCTAACTTAAATGTAAGATAGAAAGTCACCATTAATTCTCACACTACCCATTTACAGTTCATTGTAGTGTTGCATGTGGTAGTACAGACCTATCTAATCTGATTTAATTATAATCATTCCTGAAGTTATTTTTTCACTGAATGTGACAGTGATCTTCAGTAATGAAGTTCTTGTATAATCAGTTTTGTCAGGAAGATCACCACAAAAAACTGGCAATTGTCCTTTGTTCATGTATTATATTTGTACTACACATGACTTTCAATCATGATATTTCCACTGCCTCCAACCTTCTTCTCATTACATTTAAAGATCCTACCTCACACTCTTATAAAAATGTTGATACCATTATACTTTGGTACATTCCCCTTTTTGCCTCTATATATAAACTTTCTCTCCACAGTTGCCTAACGTATCACCTACCTTTATTTCCCCTCATCTATTCTCTAGCTCATCTTGTTTCTGATAGACCCCTCTGCTGAGACGTCCACTCTCAAATTCTAAATACACCAGCTATTAAAAACGCTAAACAAAAACTATCAGAAATTACCATATTTTCCAGCATGTAAGGTGCATGAGCATATAGGGCACACCCCAATTTTGGTCGGCATATTCTGGGGACAAAAAAAAAAATGCAGTACTGTATTTGCTAGGCCTAGTAAGTTGAAGGTGAATGGTAGGTAGATGTTGGAAAGCCATCACTAACATTAGGCACTGTCACTACTGGTGTTAACAGATATGACGGCACAAACTGTAACGTCATCAGAGGCAATTTAATACAAACATTTTATAACGGAGTTTTTATTAAATTTGTAAAATGTGAGGAAATAGGAAAAGAAAATATTCATCATAAGTGAGGATATTATAGCCATTTTTAATCATCTTGAAAAATAAGGATAATAAGGTGGCAAATCAGTAATCATATTTGTCCATAGACAAATATGAATACTGTGTTGTATGCTACTTCATGCCTATCTCAATGAAACAAATGTTTCACTGTAAGTTCAACAATTTTATGGGGAAACTGCCTTCCTCCAACAAACTCTGGTTCACACAGCCTGTCACTTGCTCCACTACAACCAACTTCCAAAACAAACATGGCTACCTGTTGTTTACAGATGATACTGGTAATATGCAAATTATAATTTATAATAGTTGCTAATCACTCTCAAGTAATCTGGGAAACAGTTTTGTAGGAAAGGTTGTTTTGAGTTTAGTTTTCTTGTACCACAGCACTGACACCACCAGTTGCCGGTAATATAAAGCCTTCCCTTGTTCCTGATCTTGAGCATGTAAGGCACAGGGTGATTTACCAAGACTGTTTTTTTTTTTTGGGGGGGGGGCAAAGAATGTGCCTTATATGCCAGAAAATGAGGCATAAACTGTTAGTCATATTACATTATTGACAGTTTGCTATTGCATTCTTTGCAGTTTTACATCTCTAATTACTTTTTTATACACCTAAAGAACAAGAGTTGATTATCTTATGGAGGGGCATCTGGTACCACTTTTGTCAGGTTACCCTGACAGTCCAACATTTTTTAATTGATTATGCCTTCTTCATTTCGGGTGCTTACTTTGTACACTCGTTCCTTTGATCTTTAAAGTGAATTATCTCTATGCTATCTTAACCAACGCCAGTTTTCTACATCAGCTATGACCCCTTTACTTGTGACAGCTTTCGAGGACCCCTTCTACACCTGCAGCCCGGCCTGAGGCTATGCTTACCTTTTGATTGCCTGTTAAACGAAGCTATTTGTGCAAGTAGCCCACAGACCCTTACAGTCATCACAACCTATGTGATAAATCATTTGTAGAAAGAAGCCGTCTAGCTCCTGGACAACTGATAGTATGTTGAATTGTCTTTGGCCTAGTTGACTTTTCTGATCTTCACTGGGTTTAGTCCACACTTTCATCCATATCTTTCACTCCCTTAACTTGCCAGCAGTTTTCAGGGGCCAGTTCTTCAAGTACCTTCCATGTATATATTATCAGTTAACTCTCTCATCTCAGTTCTAGAGAAAATACTCCAAGTACTTTGAGGCATTCCCAATACGTAGTCTAAATGTTATATTGGCTGTGCGAGCAGTATACAACCTGTGTACACTTTCCAGTTTTACTATATTTACTGGCTTGAAAGGTGTTGAAGTTCTTCCCTCAACTTCTCTGCCTCTCTTTTTAGATCTACCATCCCACTCATCCTTGCTGTGTAGCATTGAATGACCTACATGGGTTTAGTGCTTGCCATGAGCATAATTATAATAGAATGGGTATTGTAAACATAATACGTACATACTTTGAAAGGGGTGTTATAACATGACAATGAGCTTCATTATTTTATGTGCCTACTGTGTTTATGTTTGTGTTCTAATTTTATGTTCCTTTGGAAGATTCTTTTCAAACAATGTAGCATTTGTACTTAACCTCTTGAGGGTCCATGCCGTAGATCTACGGCTTTACGTTGAGGGTCCGAACCATAGATCTATGTCATGAGCTCAGCTCACTCTAATAAGCTGTGAGCGGTAAATTTGGGCCTAGATATGAGAGAATACATTTATATGGTATGTGTGCACCACATAAAACAAATCCTGTGGCACACAGTGCATAATGAGATGAAAAAACTGAGACCGTAATTTTCGATTAAAACAGTAACTTTGCAGTGTTTTTTCGTATGTTTTTTATAGTCATATTTGCGATTTCTTGGTCTCATTTGATAGAATGAAAGATATACACCTACCATCCGACTTACGACCGAGTTCGATTCCGAGAAACCGGTCGTAAGTCGAACTTTACTACTGAATATCAACAAAACATTTTTGTAATGACTTTATTTTATTGTTTTATTTTGGCATTTCATGTTTTACTTTACTTTTTATGTTGCTAGTACTGTATTTTATACTGTAAGGTTTAGGATAAACACTGTGTACAACACAAATAGTTGTTTATTTCCCAGAAATTTGGCATGAAAAACACGGTCGTAAGTCGAGTGGTCGTAAGTCGAGCAGGTCGTAAGTCGGATGGTAGGTGTATTACAGAAATAGAGATGATTTTAATTTGTTTTAGTACTAAAAATGGCTTGAAACTAAGCTCAAAGTAGCGGAAATGTTAAATTTTTGCCGATGTTCAAGAGTAAATAAATAACCTCACACGTCTAATACACGCCAGCTGGTGGGTCTAATATACATTCACAAATGTGCTGATATTATTTATACAATTATTACAATATTGCATAACAGTAAATCTTCCATTTTTTGGTTTGAAAAAAAAATTCATTATGTGAATTAAAAATGAAAATGGAATTCATTTGCAAAGCCTGAAAACATAACTAATGAACAGAGGAAATGTTAGTTTAGTGCCAGGAATGCCTGCATTGTTTATTCTGGACCCTATTTTGAAATTGGAATATTTTGAACTTTGCACTAAATTGGCCAAATTATCAATTTCCAATCACTTTATTTTGTAGTTGAAACAGTTGAGTTGGTGATTTTTTGTGCTCAATCGATAGAATAGAAGTAATACTAGTGAAATAGCTAAGAATTTGGTTGATTGAAATAAAGTAATTGGTCTAAAATGGGAGTCAAAGTTGGCAAAATCGCTGATGCGTAAATATCACCGACACATCAAAATTCGGGAGAGCATAATTTCATAAATTTTCCATCAAATTTCATACTTTTTGTTTTATTACCTTCAGAAAAAGATTCTCTACCATTTCATAAGAAAAAATAACGAAACTTTTTTTGAAAATTCTTGGACACTGGTGCGCACTTTGAAATTTGGCCTGTGGACCCTGAAAGGGTTAATCGAGTTTTATTAAGGTTAGCAGTACACAAATAACCCGCACATAAAAGAGAGAAGCTTACGACGACGTTTCGGTCCGACTTGGACCATTGACAAAGTCACACTAACAGAGGTGGAGCAGGACGGCTATATATAGGCAGGAAGAGGTGGTGGTAGTAGTAGTAGTAGTAGTAGTACAAGAATTGTACATAATACCGACAGGATGAAATTAAGACACATGCACTACTACCACCTCTTCCTGCCTATATATAGCCGTCCTGCTCCACCTCTGTTAGTGTGACTTTGTCAATGGTCCAAGTCGGACCGAAACGTCGTCGTAAGCTTCTCTCTTTTATGTGCGGGTTATTTGTGTATTGTTCCAGTCACGGTATTGTGCCTTTTTGTTATTTAAGGTTAGCAGGCCAAACATCAACATCAGTGTTACTGATGGCATAAAAATAAATTTAATGGCTGGCTTTTAATGTTCCTTACTGTAAGAATATTATACAGTGGTACCTCAATATTTAAAGTTAATCTGTTTCAGGAGGCTGTTTGAATATTGAGTTGAATGAATATTGAATCATTTTTCCCATAAAAAGTAATGTAAATTGAATTAATCTGTTTCGGACCCCAAGAAATTACCAATTATAAAACATTTTAAGTGAAAATATTGCTAATTAAACCTGTATAACAATATTTGCATGCATGAAATCGTACATGAAAACTATAAAAACAATAAACACATGAAAGAGGAAGGTGGAGAGATGTTATTGTTTGGAAAGGATGTCACTTTACATAAAAGATTCAGGTAACTGCCCCTCTGGTGTTTTTCTCTTTTCTTTCTCTGTGCAGCAGCACTTGAAGATGATGGGGATTCACAAGAATTTTCTTTTTTTTTCTTTTCTAGAGAATCTGTCCAGTGTTGTCTACTTTTGTGACTTTTTAAAATTTTTCTAAAGTGGTCAACAACATTATCACTGAACAGTGGAAATGTTGCCCTTAACCCTTAAACTGTCCAAACGTAGATCTACGTTCACTCGCGTAGCGCTCTGAATATTTAAATTTTTTTTTTTTTTTTTTTTTTTTTTTAAATGAAGAGTGCATTTTTATAAATGTTATAGGATAAAAAAAAAATTTAGGGCCAGTACTT